TACCAGATAAGATCCCAGATATAACTAAATTCTCTCCGGAACGAAGTACGGTTATTGTTTTTGAGGATCTATGTGCCGAACCAAAGAAAGTGCAAGAACGAATTATTCCTTACTTTATTAGTGGCCGGCATCAAAATGTCTCACCCATATATGTGAGCCAGAAATATACACAAACACCTAAAATTATTCGTGAAAATATCTCACATTTATGCCTATTTCGAGGCTCGGGGTCTAGGGACGATATTAGCAGAATCATACGCCAGTATACAGATGATCCCAAAAAAGCATCTAAAATTATTGATAAACATTTACGAGATCGAAACTTTGTAGTCTTTGATTTTACTAAGGCCATCGACGATCCTCTAGCAGTTAGACTCGGTTGGGATACTCCCCTGAAATTGGACAAATAAGGTTTGATTCTGTCTTTTTGTATATATGCATTTTATAAATACAGTATATATATGAAACCATATACGTATTATATATAGTAAGGCCAATTAAAACCGGATTGTGAGCAAACAACTTTATTAATATTGAATTGGTTAATGAATATTACGTAAATATATGTTCTATTAACAAGTAATATCTTGTTTGATAGTTATTTAAACTTCACAATTCTTTTGAACAATGGTGTTTCAAGTGTTGATCGACGCCATCCTTTAAAATTATCATCACTCTCGAATTCTTCACTTTTATTCATAATCGAGAGAATATCCTTTATTGTTTTTTCATACGCTATCTAGAGGAACAGTTTTGAATTAGTCATTTATACAGAAATAAAAAGTAATAATGATATTCCCAAGTTATACCTGAAATGCAAACATCGTGTCCAGACCAGTTAGAAACGTATTGCATACTTCGAAAGATCTTGGAAGATCTACACTACCAGTATCAATCATAACGTAAATCCCTGGGCTAATTAATGTCATCATATAACCAGTCCACTTTGTCACTATTTATTACATGAAGCATCATTAATTAGGTAGGCTAAGGTTAGTTAAAACAAGCATTCCTGGAAGACCAGCTTACCAATAACTTGCCAACTGAAAATCCGATTGACACCGGTCTTACGCGAAATATTATCGAGGGAATCTTTCATAAATATCCCCAATCTAACCAGGTCAATTAGATTCTTTTTTTCCGTGTTGTTTTTGCCTTCTCCCGTCACCTCACCGAACATCGTTTCATAAACAAATTTTCCTGTATTTTAAAGAAATATTTAGAACAGATTTATTTGTATTTTTATAATTAGCTGTTTTTTCTATAAGTACCATTATTGACAGTTTTCCCAATCATATCGGGTTGTTTAGCCCGGGAAGGATCACCGATGGCAAGTTTTCGGATTTTTGCGCTGGTGCTGGATGTGTTCGGCCATATCGTAGGATGTATGTATGAGTCATGAAAAAAAATTCGTAAAATCGGACTTATTATATTCGCCACAAGTGTCCCTTCGCTTATAATTTCTTTCAATGGATGTAATGGGATAGTATAAGACCTGCAAAGTAGCAAGAAAAA